GCTACCATTGTACAACCGATCGATAAATAAGCTTTACTCTGTAGAAGACAGTGGTGACCAATAGTTCTCAAACAGACAATTGCTCAGAATGAATGAATGGGGCTGCTCTACGTCTTCCTTAGTCAACCGATACAGAGCATGAAAGGACAACTAACCAGAAAAAATATGAACACCTGAAACTACTGCACTAGGATTTCGGTCCCTGGCTCGTAAACGCGATCTCACGCACATTCTTATTCGTTCTGATCCCGTACCTGATAATGGCATACAACTGAGCAAAGAATTTACTTTACGTATTTTCAACGGGTAGCAGGTCAGTGATCAATGAATTTTAAAAACAACGCGTTGTCCATAACGTGGACTCACACCCCATACTATTGATCGGTGCGTGTTTTGCTGACTTCGTCTAGACAAACCTTACGTAGAAATAGAAAGCCTAAACCGTACGTTCAGAAACGGTTAAAGTCGAAAAGACAAAAACAAACTGCTAAAAGGTAATAGATTATTGTACTGAACAAAGAAAACAGTTGTAGGCTCTGCGACCTCCGCATATTAAATATAATTATTCTCAGGCTTCTAACCGTCTCGTTATTCATTTGTTCTAGAAACAGTTTATTCCTGACCACATCTGACCGTAAACTGATTTGAAAACACGGCTTTAGTTCACTGCTCAGCTGTCTTAACCACTTCATATTAACGATTAAATAACAATTTTATTATACGCAGAAAACAAATGTTATTAAAATATTAATCAAATTAATGCCGATCAGTAATCGAAATCAGGCCAATTAATACGCAAAGAAAAGTACAGTATCCACTCGCAGTTGAGTATTGGAGAAAGATAACTCCAGAATGGCCGAAAAGACAGTGCTTTCAGATGACTAAAGGATATGTCGTTTAATTGGTCTACAACCCATGTTCACTTGAAAATTCCTGAAATTCAACCATCTTAAAGAGACCAGCCAATTCGCGAAATCCGTGAACGGCAGGACAAAAGTAGGTGCGTAGTAAGTTCTTCAACTGTCGTCTGAAAGGAACCAGTCAGACGAGGAAGGAGAGTGTTGTTTAGAAATCCGTAGGACGCAATGTAGCTCAGACTCTTCGAATTAAGTAATTACCACATGCAACCAAAATCAGAAGGGTACAGATGACGACTGTCTGCTATCAGTCAGTTCTGTTCAGTAGTACGGCCTTCGAGGATTGTTGAGCGGATTAGGCCGGAAGCGGTAGGCAATCATCATCTTTTTTCGGTAAACGTCGTATGCGTCGTCAGCTTTTGTTACTTCCTGAGAAGTGGAAGCTCCAAGTCCGAGGTAATCAGAAGGCTTCCGACCTCTAAAAAATATATTTAAGCTGTGTCACT